ATGTTTTGTTCTTAACATCCGTATCCACAAACATTACTATGAGGTATCAAAGTACGCGTGGATGCATAGGGTCTAAGAGCGTGGATCTTGCCTTAAAATCTAATTTGATCCCGTTAGATTGCCCTGACCCCCTCCACTGGCCAAATGTAGGTACTAGGGTAGGTATGATGCCCATAAAACCATGTAACTAAAACAATACTGCACACTACATACAACAGCTACTCATTATAATAATTCCCTAACACATTAACTCAAGTGTCTCCGGCGGCTTTTTTGCTCAACGCGTCAACATTAACCGCTGTTACCGAGTATTTAGTACTTAGCCATCGGTCCCGTTAACTTCCAGCTGCTGACAGCGAGCACTGTCGTCACGACTGACGGCGGACGACCGCTCAAACTGGACCGACGACTGATGACAAGCCTCACTCGAAAACAACTTGCCGTAAGCGCAGCTTAAACAATCGGCAATGCATATTAACATATGACTGACTTTAGACACCAATGAGAAAGCGAGATCAATGAAAAAGAAGTCTTAAAATGTCCTGACACTTATTGATTTAAGATCTACATAGTATAAATAGCAAATGATTGGATATAATATAAGAAACTGAGTAAATGTTTCACCTAACACCTCTCCTAAAAGATGCGACATAACTTAATATCCCGGCAATTAAATAATGAATCACAACTGGTAAATGAAAAAACCAAAAACCGACACATTTGAAAACGCGATATTTCTTCCAAATTCATCTACGTAATTAATAAAACATAATGATGTGTCACATTTCTGTACAACCAATTTTTTATTTACTTACTAATTTATTGATTCTTTTTGCAGCAACATGGCACAAGTGGGCAGGCGCACAGACAACCGAGGGAAGTGCTACGAGACATGGGACAAGGACTGAAGTAAGTTATTATTCAAATATAGCGATTAGTAATGGACTATTTGTCTACTTGAATGGATGACTTTGCCATTTCAAGCATAAAATTTAAGTTTTGGGCTGATTGTAAAATACAAATATCGCAAGCCCCGCCCACAACCCTTAATTTTGTGGTTTGTCGATTTTGGGTACACCCCCTTGGCGTAGATCTATTCAGTATATTTTTCGATTCAATGGATGTCAGTCAACACATAGTGCTGTAGCTTTATGAGCTTAGTACCTTATAGCTTTGATTGAATGTTGATGAACATAACCTTCAAAGCATATTTGTCTATGTCGACCTCAAAGGCGCACAGGTGACTTTTTTGTAGCCGTGGCAGTATTATCCGTGATACTATATCTGTTTCTTTTACACCTTTATAAAGAGACAAAAGAGAGACAAACTGTCACGGCGACAAAAGTCACCCGTGCCGCGCGCCGTAACTGTTGATGACCTTAAACTAGTGTCATAGCCTAAGCTGTGGTCATCCACAGCACGTTTCTGACATAGTCTATGGTCATCATAGACTCCAAAACCACTTGTCTATGCCCCAGAAACGTGGGCGGCAACATTAGAGACGGCATCACGGGCCTCGGAGGCAGCGTAATGGCGGCGCCGCGGGAATTCGCGCATCTCTTCTCGCGCTCCAACCGCTTCGGATCGGCCGATAACATCGCGCAGCTGGCCGGTGGGTGACTTTCAGTTTGTTAATAATCGTTCATCTTAACAGCTTAAGGCCCCTTGTACACGCTAAGAAAAGTACACCGGACGCACGCAAGAATTCGTGCCGTTCCGTTAAGTCCGGTCGCCGAGCAGATAGAGTTTCTTCCAATAACCCCAAGCTACCCATCCTTATCACTCGCGCGTAATTATATTGAGACTATGCGACGGGCGGCAATATAATTACGCGCCAGCGACAAGGATGGATAACTTGGGGTCATTGTACGTTGCTCCGGCGCTGACCAAGAAATAATTCTTGTCTGCGCTAGATACGACACGCGGCGGACGCGCACTTTGCGACAAATGCTCGTAGCTAGGTCCGACGACATTCTTGTCTTGTCTGCGGCAGACACGGTGAAATTTTTAGCGTGTATAAGAAGCCTAAAGGACGTAGCACACTTATCAACCCGGAAAGGGATCGTAACCGTATCAACTCGAAGTGGACAATAATTCTTTTTATGAAACTCCATACTGCAACACACCGTACCGTAACGTAAACGCCTCGCTTCGCGGTTCTCGCGGCGGCGGACAGCGCGCGAAAGGCGATACGGTGTTGATCCCTTTCCGAGTTGATAAGTCTGCTATGACCTTTATAAGTCACGCACGTGATAGGTCCTAGGTTTACTACTAGCATTAAGTCAAACTCAAAAAGTCAAATATGCATAAGTCAACGCATATGTATGTTTGACTTTTTGAGAGTAAACTCAAATTGGCTACACATTATTTTGGTTAAGGTACAAAAATAAATTAAGTACCAATTTATGACTGCCTAAAACTTAGTTTCACTGACACATCTATCAGAATTCTTGACTAAAATGTTAGGCTCTTTACACACCAAAATTATAACATAACCAATACAATACACACTTCAGTAATTGCTTAACTACATTTATTTATACCTACTTTTATATTTATGTATTCGTATTGTATACTGCAAAAAATACATACTCAATTCAGACGGCTTTTTTGTGTAATTTTGCCAACAAATATATTATTTTAGTCTATGTGCTAAGCAGCTTAATAGCTTTTTGCATTTTTATCTTTCAGATGTCAATGTAACCTTGTTGGTGTTCAAATAAATAAATAAATGTCTATTAATTTAAAATATGTGCTAAAACAAGATACAAATTACGATAATATACATTAAAATATATTATAGCTCTCATATTATATTATTTATATTTTAATTAGCCATAGAAATATTTTCTATTTTATAAATGTATGTATTTATTTTGTCACAGAGAACACGGGCCCTTGTGAGTATACTTTTAGAGTGGCTATATCACTAATATTTATAACAGTTACTTTTCATCGGCCGGAAACATTAGTTAACGCTAAATAATCCTACATTAGTTTAGAGTTTGAAAGTTAGTGATTATTATTTACTAAGAAAGTACATATTATTATAATTCCATAGAAATAGGGTATGAGGTTTCGTAGAGCCATATTTTAGTTTTTAGTCGGACTGTTTTTAGTTTTAGTAAAATAATAGTTATCTTCCGGTCGACTGTCACTGTTAGTTAAATTTTAAAGCACTTTCAACACTACTAAAATTTATTTAAATACTCACTATTGATCAATTTCACTATTTTAAGTAGG